ATACTGACTGAGCGCTCCTTTCTTTCCTCCTCTCAGGGTGCAGTAAGTGGGACATCCGGCAGAAGATTTGGGATTATATAGAGAAGAATAATCTGGCGGATTTCCCCCGACCCGTCCACCATCGGATCCCCAACTTCAAGGTAACTGCCCCTCCGGTGTCCCCATTAGGGGGATCTATTCTCACTTCCTGCCCTAACATCTCTGACAAATCCCCATTTATGGAAAAGGGGGGGGAGGGTTAGAGGAAATGTTATTCCCGTTCGTTACTTCCTGTGCTGCTGACAACCACACCACCAAATCCTTGTATTGGTGTCACAGGGGCAGGAATTGGGTGAAAGTGTCACTGCTGGGTCTCTGTGTTTCTTTATGCAATGCAAGCAGGTCAGGGCTGGTGGGAGGGGCCAGCACCCTGCCCCAGTCCTCCTCTCAGGAACCCTCAGCCCTGATGCAAGCAGTGGGTGTTCTTCTGGGAGGGGTTATGCAAATATCAAAATACCTTGATGGGTGGGGGGTAAGTCTGGAGGAGTGGGCGTTCCTAGGCAGGCTTTATTTGCCTAGATAACGCCCACATGTGATGCTGAGCCTCCATGATTGACAGAACTGGAATACAGTGAATAAAAGGGGTGGGGCCTAGAGACAGGCCATGGAGAAAAGGACTAGATGATGCTGGACGTCCTCCAGCCAGGAAAGGGGGCGGGGTCTATCTTACTTGCTGCAGCTGCTAATGCACATTGTGAGGAGCTTGCGGTGAAATCAGAGTGAACACATATCTATATCTCCTGTCGGTGTCCAGGGGGCGGCAGGAGCCTGCGAGAGGTTGAGGGTGTTGCGGGAGTTCCAGGAGGCGACGACCATTAAAATAAACCCGGACACGCCGCAGAAGAACGCGCGTTTCCTCACGCTGGAAGTAAGTGACCGCTCTGCTCTCTCTGTCTAGAATTCCCGCCAGGCCTGTCGCAATGTCGCCGCCCTGGAGGTCTTCCGGACCACGCGGGAGGTCAAAGTGGACCCGGACAAGCCCCTGGAA